GGCTCGGGCTCCTCCCGGCAAGGCTCAGGGGCGGGCGGCCAGCAACTCCGCCTCCTGCCCAGGCCTGGGCTCAAAGTCAGCGCTGGGCCAGGTCGGGCCTGCACTGGGTCGGTGCGTGATAGCGCAGGGGCTGGAAACTAAGATCCCACCCCATTGAGATTTTAACAAAGGATAGGGCAGCACACAAAAATAGCTCCCCCAAATAATAATAGCTAACAGTTCTGCAAGTCTAAGCTCATTCATTTATTTAGAAAATAAATGTGCTTTGAGGACCTCCTCGTACAAGGGGGCTTGTCACAGGACCCAGTAGAATACCTTGGCCTCCCTGTGGCGCCTTGTTCCTTGACATGTCCTCTGCCTCAGGCAGTGTGCAGCCTTTTTCTTTCTTCAGTTCTCTGTGGCAGGACCCTCTTAAAGCCAGAAGATCTTCTGTCATTTCCGCCGATCACGATCCCCCCTGCTCATGAACCTGTAAGTGAATAGCATGTTCAGGAGCCCTTCAGTTCCTCCACCTCTGCCCCCACATTTACTTTTTCAGAGCTCTTGGAATCAGTAAGTCTCCTGGGGGGAAAGACAGAAACTACTCTGAGTAAAGCAGACTGGCTATGACAGAGGTGGTGGAGGAGCTGAGGCCACAATCCCCAGGCAGCCCACAGGAGAGTGACCAGAGGAAGCCACCATCCTGCCAGTGGGGGGAGGAAGTGGATCACCCGAGGAAGCCTTTGTGTGCAGGGCTGGGGTTAGGCAGGGAGGACTCAGGAATAGCCTTGGTTTCTGCTTCCCTCTGCCCGCACATTCTGTGATGGCCCAGCTGTCATATCAGGAAGATGCCTGAGTTGGGGAGTGAGACCTTGAGGGTTAAGAAAGGAAAGACCACTCAAGCCTAAGTGGAGACCAAGAGAAGTCTGATTTAGTTCACAGAATAGCTCCTTTTATAGGCTCACATCAACAGGAAGCTTTTAAAGGCACACAACAACAGAAAACACCAAGCAATTGTTTTTATCTTATGCAAAGACCGGATTTTCTGACTCTTTACAAAGAACATCAGATCTGTGGCTGTCTCTTTGAGTTTCTCCCATTGCAGGGTCAAAAAACAAGTTTAACAAGCAGAGTCCTAGAAAAGTAACAAATGCTACATATATCGTATCAATGCCTTGAGCGTAGAGGAAGAAGTTCCCTCACAAATGTCAAAGCCAAGAGGGCCATGGCTGGACTGCCACACACTTCCTCTTCACTGAACTAGCAGAGCTCAGGAAGGCTGGGTCTGGGAGCAAACAGGCCCAGGAGCAGCACAGCCCAGCCACCAGGTTCTGGGCCCACGTGCCTCCCTGACTGTGGTCTTTGGCCACCTTGCCCTCTGCTTGTGCTCCAGCCTGGGCCTTTCCACCGTGCCCAGGCCCTCTGCTGGGGTCTAGGACTATATGTCCTGGCTTTTTCTCATTTGGGTCTCACTCAAAAGTAACCCCAAGTGAGGCCTCTTTCCCTATTTCCTCTCCTTCCTCCCTCTCTCTCTCTTCATGAGGCCTCTCTTAATGTTCCTCAGATAAATTAATACATCTCTCTTGTAGCGCCTTTATCAATCCCTATCACATACTTGCGCATTTTCCTTCAAGCTCTTGTTGCTATGCAAAGCTGTTTCGTTCATTTCTGTAGTTCACAATAGTTGGAATCACTAGTGAAGCAAAGCACTATCAGAGGCCCTGGGATGCAGCAGTGAGCAGAATGCCAAAGGCCTGTCCTCTCGGAGTGTCTATTCTAGTGATGGGAGGCCAAAGAGAAATCGGGCAGAAGATGGTGTGTGTCGAGGAGGAAAATAGAGCAGAGTGGAGGGATGTACTGCGGACGGAGTTGCCCGCCTTAAGAGGTTATCCAGAGGAGGCACATTATGGTTTAGGGCTAAAATGTTGCCCAAAAGTCTCCTGTGCAGAGGTGGGGGATTTTGGAGGGTGATGGGATGTCTGGGGTGCTCTACTGACCCACTGATGAGTTCGTAGCTGACGATGCTGTTTGGAAGTGGAACCTGGTCAGAAGAAGCAGGTCACGTGGGGCATGACCCGAAAGGGCGTATACTTGACCCTGACTCGCCTCTTTCCCGTGTCCTTTCACCATTCCATCTGTGCCTTGGAGCCTCCCAACCATGGACTGAACCGACCGAAACTGAGTCAAAACAAACCTCTCTTCCTTCAAGTTGTGGGTGTCAGGGATTTTGTCCCAGCGATGAGAAGCCTCACTAATAAAGAGAATTGGTACCAGGAGTGAAGCCATTGCATGACTGTACCTGATCATGTGGCCCAAAAGCCTTTGGAACTTTTTTGTAAGAAGAGTTTGGAAAGATTTGGAGATATAGGCTAGAAGCCCTAGAATACTGTTAATACATTTTTCCTGCTGTGGCAGGAAAAGCCTACAGGTTGGCAGGAGTAGAACAGACAGCCCTGCTTGGAGCCTATGGAAAATAACTGAAGAGAAGTTCTGCTTGGCTTACCCGAGAGCACTAGTGGTAGAGGTGGTGAAAAGTGCTCAGATTCTGAGTACATGTGTAGAGCCAAGAGGCTTTGATGATTTAGATGTGGACCATACAAGAAAGGGAGCTGAGATGACGCTGAGAGTTTCAGCCAGAGCCCATGAGAAGATAGCGTTTAATACCCTGAGACAGGCCGTGAGAGGAGCAGATTCAGGGTAGGAAGATCCCCAGGTTCCGTTCTGAACATGACAATAACCACAAACACTAACCTACTGCTTACATGTGCTGGGTGATATTCTAGGCTTCATATCCAATAACTCATTTAATCCTCGCAGAGCTCCGAGAATAAGTAGCTATGTTCTCATTATTTTGAATGAGATAATGGAGGCACAGGAAGATTGAATAAATTCTCGAAGATGACAAAAAGTCTGTAAGTGTCAGAGCCACAACCGAGGACCAGGAAGCTTGGCTGTGGGTCTGTGCCTCAGTAGCTGCGCCCAGCAGCTTCCAGGTGGACACGTTGGGCTACAGTAACCCAGGCATGGGAGCCTGGGCCTCAGCGGTGAGCTGCAGGCTGGGAATGAGTTTGCATACACTAGGGAATTGTGTTAGTTTCTCTGGGCTGCTCCACCAAAGGGCTTCACATTGGATGGCTGAAAACAGCAGAAACTGAGTCTCTCAAAAACGCTGAAGGCTGGACACGTGACGTCAAGATGTTACAGGGCCGTAAACCCCAGGAGATCCGGGTGGACTCCTTCCTTGACCCTTGGTAGCTTCTGGTGGTGACTGGCAATCTCTGGGAGGTGCCTCTTGCTTGGCCAAGGGATGGAGCTTGGCCCCTGGAGGTACCTTGCTTACACCTGCATCGCTCCATTCTCGGCTTCTGTCATCACATGGAAATCTCCCGATGTGTCTGCCTTTATATCATCGTCCATCTTTTTATAAGGACTCACGTTGGGTTAAGGGACCACCTTGCTCCAGTATGACCTCATCTTAATAATTTACATCTGTAATGACCCCATTTCCAAGTAAGGTCATATTCTGAGCAATTAAACTAGGATTTCAACGGATTTTGTTGGGGAGCATCATTCAACCCATTAACAGGACTCGAGGGAACAGATGGAAATTCAGGCCCTGAGCTGCTTGAGAGAAAATGGGAAGGAGATGGAAGACATAGCTTTGGAGAGGCCACTCTGGAGAGCTAGGTGAGGAGACATCAGCCAGCAGAGTGAGAAGGAGCAGCAAGCCAGGCAGGACGATGGAGCATAGAGCGCTAAAGGTGAGGGAGGCCAGGGGACAAAAGTGCCTCCCAGGGATGGAGGCTGGGCCCAGTCCAAACAGCTGGTAAGTCAAAGAAGAGGAACATAGAGGAACAGGCATCTGATTTGACACAGGGAGGTTTCGACCTTGACAAGCTCTGGAGAGCGGGTTCAAGCCCGACAGGTGTGTGCTCATGAGGGAACGAGACAACTGAAAACATGTTTCCATGTTTATGGCTGGCCTGTCCACACTAGCACGGAAGAGCCCCCAGAGCAAAGATGTTGAGGTAGCTCATTCATTCCTGTATCCCAGTGCTTGGCACGTGGTATTTGTTAAACCAAGTTGAATGTTGTATTCTCCTTTGATGGTGGGGGCCCATCATGTCCAATCTGGTCACAGCAACAAGGAATAGTGAGAAATGATAGGGCTGGAATAGGTTCCTTCCAGCTCTAAAATTCTATGATTATATGGAAAATGCTATCAACCACTCTTGTATTAATACAGTAAGACATTTAATTTGTTGCTTGTTGTATTTTTATTTTGGCAAGCAACTCAGCTGGAATAAGTGTTCCATTCATAAACTTACCAAACACGTGGAGTGCCTCCGATGTGTTACATGCTGCCCCATTTAACGGATGTCAGGGGAGTGGGCCTGGATGGAGAGGGACAGACCTCCCACTGCTCAGACCAGGAGGTCTGGGGGCTGTGATGTGACCAGTGCTCCCGTGCTCCAGTGCTTGGGCAAAGGAGGGAAGAGGCCAGTGGCTGAGTAGAGAGTGGAGGGGTTTGCAGAGCCACAGCTGCCCTGGTCACAGAGCAGCATTCACCAGGCATAATAAGCAGCCCCTTATGGGCCTCACCGCTGAGTCGCCCAGGGTGCCACCCAGACAAGGGGTTCAGGCAATGGAAAAAGAGGAAGGTGTGGTCCTCAGCTTCACAGTACCACAGGGCCCACACCCAAATCTCCCTCATTTTTAGAGCTGTAGGCTTCTACCGTGGTTGAGCAGTGCCCTTGGGGTTCAGTGCCCGAGCCATTTATCATGAGTCCAAAGGCCCTGTGAAGCAGGCAGAGGTTAGCAGGGCTCTGGGTATTGCAAGACCTGCACAGCCAGGACAAGCACAGGACTGCAGGGGTTCACCTGAACAGCGAGCGATGGATTCTGTCTGTGGACAGTAAAAAAATATTCCTGGACCAAATAATATTCACTTTGATCACCACTCTCCTCCCTTCCTTTCTTTATTAAACAAGGTGCCTCAGTTTCCTTTTTTGTACCATCAGGAGAAAAACGGTCCCCTTTTACAGGGATCCTTGCAGGATCAAGAGCATCCTGGGACACACTGAAAATTCTTTCCAGACATTGATCCACTGTTATAAACTGCTGGGCCAAGCAAGTTTCCTCTTGCACTTACAGATTAGGGGCTCCTACTCATCTGGCCTGGTCTGCTGGTTCTACTTTACATTCATTTTCTCTATTCATCCCCCAGCAACAAAGAGAGGAAGTGAGCCAGGAGCGGGCACGTGCCTCTCTGGCCGGCTTCGTGCCCCGCTCGGAACTACATTGCCCGGTGACCCCTGCGCGGCCTAGTGGCGGCAGGAGTGGTGCGCATGCGCCGCGCGCAGCC